CGTACTATAAAGGAATAATCAACACAACTATTTGGTACTGGCTAAAAAATTAGAAAATTCCATCCATGAAACAGATTAGGTTCACAGTATACAGAAGATGCAAACATGATAACATATTGTTCAATAAATCCAAAGAAGGGCAGCTAGGTGGCGCAGTGGATAGAGCATCCACCCTGGAGTCAGGAGGACCTGAGTTCAAATCTGGCCTCAGACACATAACACACGCTAGCTGTGTGACCCTGGGCAAGTCACTTAACTCCACTGGCTTATCCATAATCAATCAATCAATCAATCAATCAATAAACCCAAAGACAACAATTACTATGGCAAGAACTCACTATTCCCAGTGAATGAGGGAAAAAAATCTTTGCAGCAAGTTTCTCTAATAAAAGTCTCTAAGATATGTAAGAAGCAGATTCGAATATCTAAGAATAACGGCTATTCTCCAAGTTAGCAAGCCTAGTATGTGCCAAGCACTGTGCTAAGCTACTGGGGATGCAAAGAATGGCTTTTTACTGTAAAAGGTGGGATTTAGCTAAGACTTGAAGGAAGCCAGGGAAGCTAGGAGCTAAATGAGGAGGGAAAGAATTCCAGGCATGGAGGGATAGCTAATAAACATACATAGAGTCAGAAGAACAAGTGCCTTGTTCCACAGACAGCAAGGAAGTGAGGCTACAAGGTTAGTGTCACTTGATAGCAGAGTATGTGGAGGAGAATAAAATATGAAAGGTAGGGAAGTGGCCAGGTTATGAAGGGCTTTAAACGCAAAACAGAATTTTATATTTGATTCTGGAGGTAACAGGGAACAATTGTAGTTTCTTAAATAGGGAGGTGACATGGAGCTGCATGTTAAAAAAATAACTTTGACAGATGGATTGGAGTGGAGAGAAACCTGAGGCAGGGAGGCCAACCAGAGGCTATTGCAATCAATAGTCTAGGAATGAGGTGATAAGGGTCTACACCATGGTTAAGATAAATGGAATAGGCAGTTCTTGAAGAAATACAAGTGATCAACAGCCATATTTTAAAAAATATTCTATTAGAGAAATTAAAGCAATTCTAATATTCTATCTTAGATGGGCAAAGATTAGAAAAAAGGAAAATGATAATAGTTGGAGAGGAACAGGAAGACAGGCCTCCTAATGCACTGTTGATGGACCTATGAATGGTTCAATTATTCTGGAGAACAGAAGTCACTCAACTGTGCATACCCTTTGAACCACTGACACCACTATATGAGCCATACTCTAAGAAAGAGGGAAAGGACCAACATGTACAAAAATTTATCAGTTTTTTTTATAGCAAAGAAATGGAAACTAAGAGGGTGCCCATAAACTGGAGAATGAATGAACAAAGTATAGTATATAAATGTAATGGAGTATTATTGAGCTATAACAGATGACAAGGTTTTAGAGAAACCTGAGAAGACTTATATGAATTGATGCATAGTGTAGTGAGTAGAACCAAAAGAACAACTTATACAGTAACAACAACATGACGGGAGAGTGAAGGGAGTTAGAGGAGGAAAGTCTTTGCAAAGAGGAAAGAAAAGAAGATTAAGCATTTATTAAAATGTACAGAGAGAAAAGGAAGTCCAGAAAGAATAACAGGCCCAGCAGCTTTGTAAATGACACACTGAATTGATTATGTACTTTAAAAAAATCCAAGCTGTACTTATTTAATAGAAATTCACAGTTTTACATATAATTCTTTTTCTGTTCTACTTTACATATGGAAAATATCTTTTGGTGTTCATTATTCAGAATTTTTAAAAATTAAACTAACATATCAATATTACTCCAATGAAATGTACAAAAATTATACATCTTAAAGAGTGTGCTTAATGACTTATCAATAGATATTACAGTATTGGAAAAGTTAACTGTTTCTAAAATCATTCAAGTACACAACAAAAAAGGATCAGATGCATTCAAGCCTAAAGCAATGTGCACCATTAAGAACTGATAAACAATTGTTGCAAAATAACTTAATTGGAAAAACAATCCAAGCCCTTCAAATGGATCTGGCACCCAGAGGGGTTGTTACAGATTCCTCTACAGTATGGGGTAGACTTCTTGAAGCTGGAAAAGCAGCTAGAAGACCAGTAAAAAAAAATAACAAAACAGCTGCTCACCACTGCTATGAAGGGTAAAACCTTGTTATTAGTAAATACACAGACATTATTGTTAAAAGACTGGAAAAAAGTGATTTTGCTGATGAAACTCATTTTTCTTTCAAGCCTATACCAATTCTCAGTAGTACAGGTGAGCCGGTTAGGTCTGGGCATCTTTATAAAATTAAAAAATTTGCCAGAAAAAATGTTTGGGGAAATTTTTTACTTCTAGTGGGCCAAAAGCCTTGCCCCATTGAGGTAATGATGAACTCTGATTAAGATACTGATACACTGAGAAGCAGAACTGTCCCAGAATTACAGCCATTCCCAAATGGAATTCTGCAACATATCATGCCACACATTATAAAAAGAGAGGAAATTTGTAAGATGTAACTAAACATGCTTCAATAAATTAGGAGCTTTCCTGATTTAAATTCTATTAAAAACTTTGGGTCAATGAACTATTCACCAAAGGGATTATTAATATCCAATGTGACAAAAGGTTCCATGATGTATTAAAAAATATATGTCAAATCTTGTGAACTCAACACCAAATTGTGTAAAGCAAGTGACTACAGCAAAAACAGACTGTAGTGCATGTTAAAACTTTTTTTAAGATGTTAAAAAGCTTTAAGGTTTATTGTATAAATCAATAAATTTATTTTGCCCCATTTAATTTGCACAATTTTGTTGTTCACTTGGGCCTAGCAACTTGAATTCATAAAGGGCACTGAACTTCATAGAGGACAACTGGATGCTCTTTTACCAACTTTCAATTTATTTTGGGTATCACTTTCCTATAAGTCATCTTTTTTTTTTTTTTTGAGAGAGAACAGAAGGAAAATAAAGACTGAGCAGTTGTGCTTTTTCTGCTTTGTTGGTTATCACTGCCTGGTTCATCAATCCTATCCCTTCCATTATCCTAATTTCTGCAATAGCTTAAAAAAAACCCACCTTTTTGCTACTTTTAATCTTCCTCAACAGACTATCTCAAACTAGCTATCATGTGTACTTCACTTCATCTCTTCTCCAAACTAAATAGTACCAGCTCTTCTATCTGATCCTGGTCACCCTCCAACATATCAATGTCCTTCCTAAAAGAATATTTAATGTTGGTTGAAGTAATTCCTACATCAGTAACTCCATATATGACTGCTTAAATGTGCTCTATTACCAACTGTCTAGAACAGAAGTGACAAATTTGCTGCCTCCAAAACTCCTAAGTGTGGCTGGAACCAGATTAAAAAGTTACCTGGGAAATGTTTAACAAAACAAATAAAAATATAACATAGATAATGTTAATTTGTGAGATTTTTTTTAAAGTCAGTAGATGGGTTGCAGGGATCCCTTTGTATTTGACACCACTGGTCTAGAAGATTTTTTGCAATATGTCCTTCTACAGCTTCAATGAAACTCAACACATTCATAATCAAAGCCATCTTTCTCTCTACCCTCAACACCAAACTGACTCTTTCACTGTCAATAGCATTACTTTTATCCTAGTCCCTAGACTAGGAATTTGGAGTCATAGGATTATCTCTGACTCCTCCCTCTTTATCCAAGCTTCCTTTAAAATATTTCTAAGACGAAATCTTTTTCTTCATTCCACTGCCACCATCCTAGTCCAGGCTCTCACACCTGGACCACTTAAGAGCCTTCAAACATAGTGTGTTGGGCACTCGTCTTTTTCCCCTCCAAAATATACTGTCACTGGAATGATCATCCTAAAGGAGAGATCTGATCATACCTCTACCACGAATCTAAAATACCTTGCTATGGCCTATTCCATCCAATCTAAATTCCTCTTCCAGGTTGCTATTATCCCATTATATCGTGGTATAACAGCTAGGAAGGTAATTTGGGAATCAGGAAGACCTCTGTGTGAATACTGCCTAGTGTTCAAACACTTCAGACACTTCCTAGCTACAGGACTCCATACTCCCAAGGTTCTGCCTCTTATCTGTAAAATGGAAATAATATCAAGACTTACTTCACTGGGTTGTTGTAGGGATCTAATTAGGCCAATATGTCAATCCTCCCCTTGCAAAGCTTTCCAATGCTATAGGAATGTGAGCTATGATTACTGCCCAACATCAATCCTTTGCTCCAGCCAAGCCAGTAACCTCATACCTAATCTCTATGCTAATTTCAACATACACCTTCTACTTCTTTTTCCCATGATGCATCTCAAGTCCCAAATCTTCCATCAATTCAACAAACATTGAGTGCCTGGCACCTATAGAGTGGATGCTTGTTGACTGAATATACTAGGTGTTGAGATACATTAAGATTGAAAGTTGGAGCAGCTAGGTGGTGCAGTAGATAGAGCACCTGCCCTGGATTCAGGAGAACCTGAGTTCAAATCCAGGTTCAGACACATAACACTTACCAGCTGCGTAACCCTGGGCAAGTCACTTAACCCCACTGCCTAGCCCAAAAGAAAAAAATTTGCTAGCAGACGAAGAACACGTAAATAAATAACCTTAACGCATGCCGGAATAATCAAAAGGGCCAGACAGAGCAACTACTGGCTTCCTAGATTATTCTGAATCTCATTCTCTGAAATCCTAATGCACTTCTACCACCTGTCAACTGATTTTAAGTTAATTACTTTGTAATGGTTCCCTTCGTGTTGGTGGCCTCCCAAATTTACTGTAATGCTATTGAAAGCAAGGGACCAAATTTCTTCATCTGTCATCCTAGGAGGGTGGCCCAGGTGACGCCAAGGTCCAGACGCGGTTCCGTTCAGAGAAGGCGGACGTGACTTCTTAATGATCACGTGTAGGTTAACCAAAGCCAGGGTCCCGCCCCCCGTGGCGGAGCCCCGCGTCCCTCCCGCCCACCGCCTTGCGGGGACCAATCAGCGAGCTCGGAGGGTGCTCGCGCGCAGAGCCGGGGGAAAGGTGGCGGCAGCGGCGAAGGCGATATGTTCAGGGGCCAGCGAGCCTGGTTCTGCCGAAGCGTGGGCCAGGATCTGCAGGAGCTCTGGGGTAGGGGGCGCGCGGCCTCGGGGGTCTCGCTAGGCCTTTCGTCCCACCCCCGCGGGGCGCCTGGGTCTCAGGAAGGGACGGGTGAGGGCGCTGCAGCCCTCAGCCTCCCCCGCTCACGTTGGAACCCCGTCTCTCTACAGTGGCCCGAGGCGGAGTGATCTGCAGCGCTCGAGAGGCGGACTTTCTGTTCAGCTGTAACGCCTCGCACCCGGACACTGTGAGGTATCCTCGCGCGTCGGCAGCCCGGCACGTGGCCCCCAGCTGTCCTCTCTCCTGCCACCTCGTGCTCACGGACTCAGCCGGCCCACCGCGCTGGGCTGGCAAAGCAGCGTAGTACTTGTCTGCTCACCTTACAGATGAGGAATCCGAGGCTCAGGGCCACGAAGTAGACAGAGAGTGCCGTGGCAGACCGTACCTGACATTTCATCAATGCGTATACATTTATTAAGCATTTACTAAATTCCAGGAATCCTGTTAGTTTGGGGACCCAAATGCAAAAGTGAGAGTTCCTGCCCTCAGGGAGCTTATGGAGAGATTAGGGGTGGAGGTTTGAGGTATACAGAGAATGCCATGGCAGACCATAGCTGGCATTTCATCAGTGCATGTAGATTTATTAAGCATTTACTAAATGCCAGGTAGGATTTGGGGACCCAAATGCGAAAGTGAGAGTTCCTGCCCTCAGGGAGCTTATGAAGAGGTTAGGGGTGGAGGTTTGGGGTGCTGGGACCCAGAGAATGCCAAGACAGAGTAGCTTATAAGTTCACAGACTCAAACCATCTTTCAGTCAAGTGACAGTTTATTGTAATGCCAAAATAGCAGATGAAGTTCTGTTGGGGAACTTAGTAGGGGGTGAATCTAAAACTTATATAGAAAAGGGGCAGGGAAAGGAATAATTAGGTAATACAAAGGGTCCAGTTGTCTTGGCAGCAGGTGTCAGTGATCAGTCTATGGATAGGAAAATGTAGGGAATTTTGCAGAGATAATTTCATTGATACCAGACATTGAGGGAGAAAGAGGTTTTTGTTTAGTTGTGGGAGGCATGGACCTTGAGGAATCTGACAACAATAGAGTTCTTGGGCCTGCCAGGGACAAAAATCCTTGAGCCAGGCACCCCTGTGTCTGTTCTGATAAGAGAATGTGTTCTGCAACAAGGGATAAAGGATCTCACAGGACAAGGGCCTACTGAGAGATTGGGAAACTTCCAGAGACATGATCTTAGGGCTTTTTTGCAGTCCAGGTCCTACCGACCCCATCACTTACACGGTACTGGAGGATGCAACGTATACACTCATAAATAAATACAGGGCATGAGCAAAAATAAATGCACAGTTATGGGGAGAAGGAAGAAGAGAAAGATATCACTGTTAACAACTGGAGGAAATCAAGAAAGAAGTGGTATGGTCTGAGCCCTGAAGAAAGCTAGGGACTCTAAGTCTCTAGTTGAGAAAGATTTCTAAGATGTAGGTTTGAAGGATTGAATGTGAACTGATTTGGCTGGAATTTAGAGTAGAGCTTCATCTAAGGGGAGGCTAGCCTGGAGCCAAACTGTTAAGATCTTTAAGCAGAATGAGGGAGTTTGCACTTTATGCTTGAGGCAATTGGAAGTCCTTGAGTCTAGGGAGTTACTTGGTTGGACCTCAGCAATGTCAAAGCTAGATTAGAGAGGGGAGAGGCAATATGCAGGGAATCCAGTTGGGAAGCCTGGTGAGAAGTGATTAAGGTCTACATTATGGTAGTTGTAGTGTGACTAGAGATAAGGAGTTGGATATGAGAGTTACAGAGGAGGTTGAATTGATGAGACCTGGTGTTGGATTGAATATGGGGAAGTGTGGTTCCTAGGTGATGAACCTGGGCTGCTGAAAGAATGTTGGGGTCTTTAATAGAAAGAGGTAAGTTAGAGGAGGGCTGAGTTTAAGGGTAATAAGGGAAAAGATAATGAGTCGGATAAGACTTGCTATTACTGAGAGGACATTCAGAAATAATTGATCTGCTTAGAGGTGACAGTTGAATTCATGAAAACTGATGCTATCATTGAGAGGGATTCTAGGGAGAAAAGGTGAAGGGGCCTGGGACAGAGCTGGGGTACAGTCATCAATAGGGGAAGAAACACCGATGATGATCCTGAAAAGGGGACTGAGAAGCATCTGTCACACAGGTGGGAGAACCATAAAAATCCAGGGAAGAAAATTATCCAGGACAGGGTGGCCATCTACTGAGGGAGACAACGGGAGGTAAAACGCACATTTAGAGGGGTTGGCCTTATCAAGGAGAAGAGCCATCTTATCTTCCAAGACAGCAAAGGAGGAGAGGATGTGGGATGATGAGATGATTTAAATGTGGAGTTGGGGAAGAGAAGGAGCCTCAGTTTTTTAGAGAATAAGGCAAGGTTCTCAATAAGTGGGAGGAATATTGAGGTGGTGGAGGTGGCTTGAAAACAGAAGGTTTGTAATAGCCACTGTGAGGAATATGGTAGAGTCAATTAAGGAAAAGTCATGAAAAATTAAGGAAAAGGCATGAAGTGGTAGAGGCCTCCTTGTGACTGGAGAACATAAATTTATAATGGACCCAGTTGGCACAGTTGTGAGTTCCTTCAGTGGCCCTCAGCAGCATATGAGCAGTTAATCTATAAACATTTATTGAACACCTACTATGTGCCAAGCATTATGCTAAGCGCTGGGGATACAGTCCTTGCCCTCAAGGAGCTCACAATCTAATGAGTGAGACAACAAACAAGCTATATACAGGATAAATAGAAGATAATTAAGACAGGGAAGGCACTAGAATTAAGAGGGGCTGGGAAAGGCATCCTGTAGAAGGTGGGATTTTAGTTGAAACTTAAAGAAAGCCAGGGAGGTCAGTAGTCAGAGTAGAGGAGGGAAAGCATTCCGGAAATAGGGAACAGCCAGAGAAAATGCCCCAGAAGTGTGTTCTGTTGGAGTATCTTATTCATGGAACCACCAGGAGGCCAATGTCACTGGATCCACGAGTGTGTGTAGGGGAGTAAGGTATAAGAAGACTTTAAAGGCTAAGTTATGATCGACTTTGAACCAGAAGCAGTGAGTCAGAATAAAGAAGATAGAGGATTAAAATAATCCAAGGTTTGTAAAGGGATGAGAAGTAACAGCCTATAGCCTCTGATGCCTATTGTGTGTATGATTTTGGGTAAGGCTTCAGTTACCTCTTCTGTAGAATTAGGGATCCAGGCTAAATGGATTCTGAGTCCTTTCTAGTGTTAGCTCCGTGACCTTGTCTATGATGGATGCAAAGGTCAAAGGCAGTACAAAATCGAATTGGTTATCTAAAGGGTTGATAGAACGTAGAAAAAGTGAGGCAAGAACAGGCCTAATGATCTGAAAAGACAGAGAATGGGTTTAGGAGGGCTGAGATCCTGGGCAGATATGAGAATTTGCTGTCACCTCAGGCTTTAAAATTGAAAGCTGACTAAGTTACAAAGATTTTAAGTGTAGCAGGCCACCTAGACTTTCTTTTATCTGTGGGGAGAAAAATCATACAAAATATTGAACAGGCTAATGTTTATTGGAGCTGATTAAATTCTCTGTGTGGACTCAGTAGCTTACTTCTTTCCCCTTCCCCTAAAGTTTACCCTCTTTACCTGTTAGAGATTTGAAGTTTGAGTTTAAACAAATCATTTCACTTTTCTCTTCCATTCACTAAATCTGTGCTCAGGTTTACTAAGGTACTGAGTGTTTTAATGTTCATTTTGCAAATTAAAATACTTCCTTTTTTTTTTCTCCTAGAATATATCAAAGCTTTGATTACATGGAAGATAATGCTACAGTATTTCATGCTTATTATCTCTCAGCAATAGCTAATGCTGATATGAAAAACACGGTGCTTTTGGGTCACTATGTCCTTCCACCTGCCTGCCTGCAAAAAGGTTAGGAAAAATAAAAAGTTTGTAGAGGTATTGAAACATTTCAACAAGTTTAATTACTCACCCAAAACCAATTTCTTAACTACTAATGTGTTCTAAATCACAACTTTTCTAAATCTCCTTCTTTTATACTGTTTTCTCCTAGTTTGAGATCTTTCTTAATTAAATTTTATTCTCCTATCTTATTGCAAGAAAGTTCTTCCTTATACACAAGGCATTCATGATACTGTTTATTTTTCTAATTTTACATTTAATTCTAATTTTATTTTTTCTCTATTACATGTAAACAAAAAAATTTTAACATTAATTTAAAAAAAAAACTTATGAGTTCCATATTTTCTTCCCTGCCTGCACCCCTCCATAATAAGGCAAGCAATTTGATATAGATTATACATATATAGTCATGCATGGAAATGTTCTGCATTTCCATATTAGCCATGTTGCAAAAGAAAACACAAACCAAAAACCCCCAAGAATAACAAAGAAAGCTAAAAAGAAAAGTATACTTCAATCTGCATTCAGACTCTTATCAGTTTTTTCTCTGGAGGTAGATAGCATTTTTCATCATAAGTTCTTTGGAATTGTTTGGATCATTGTATTGCTGAGAACAGCTAAGTCATTCACAGTTGATCATCATACAATATTGCTGTTACTGTGTATAGTATTCTGGTTTTGCTCATTTCACTTTGTATTAGTTCACATAATTCTTGAAATAGAATGCCCAAGCTTTAAAAAAAATCATAGTTTACAGGGAATCTCTTAAATTAACTCTTTTTGACCTGTTTTCCAGGTCATTTGTTGTTGATATCTGATACTTATACTTTTTTACATTTTTTCAGTTGCTTTGTTCTACTATTTCTTGCTTTCTCACAGAGTGACTGACTTTTATTTGGTCTATTCTTGTTTTCAGAGAGTCCATTTCTTGAGTAAGGTTTAACACTTTCTCTTCTAAGGGATATATGTGTATGTATATATATATATATATATATATATTTTTTTTTTTCAGTTACTACTGCTTCTAAAAACTTGTACCAATTGAATAATGGATTTGAGGAAACCAATGGTCAGAGAAAACTTAGCTAGTTATGATTTATTGTAAAAAAACAAAGTATACGTTGAGGATCTGTGCCTATCAATGACATAGCCACCTAGCTCCCTTTTGTCCTGACTTGGATGTACCATGGCATATATGAAGTCCAACAGGAGCTGCTGGCCAGCTCTTCTAGAACTTTAGACTGACCATAAGTAGCACCTGAATACAAGGAATTGTATTATTTTATACTTAGTAGTCATTTAAAAAAAAAAAGGAGTTGGCGCCCTTAACAAATTTAGAGTGAGCAAACCTCAGGAATTTGTCATGAGTAGAGCAGATGAAGATACCTACACAGGTTTAAACAGTTCTTTTGGTGTCATATCTATGGAATAATCACTCACTCTGGCAATTTCTGCCTACGATTCCCCTCTACTTCCCTACCTGGCCAAATCTGATCAAACTACCTCAAAACTGTAAAAGAATATTCTATCATATCATTCATTATTCTTAGTCACAATTACATTAAAATAGCATAATAACAACCGTGTTTTTTACTCAAACATTTGTTGAGAATTAAAGTAATCCCAGAACCTATCCCTAAAATCTTCATACAGTCTGGGAGGACGTGCAGTCTTTAGAAGCAAATATAAAATTTAAACATTTGTAATCCTGATGATCCTACATATTCAAATATGTGTTTAATAGAATTACCCTGCAGATTCCCTACATTGAAAGTTTCAAGCAAAGTTCTAGAAAATGCTGTAATGTCAAATTAAAAACGTGTTTTTTTTGAAGAGGATTTATTTTTCTGTACTACAGAAATAAGAAAAAAAATCGGTAGTTTTATTTGGGAGCAGAACAATCATGTAATGACAGAGAAGGTAAGAGTAAATGAATGTTATTTTTATTTAAATGTACACCTTTCTGCGTTTTGGGAAGAGAGTAATGTGGTGATTTATTTATTTGAAAAACCAATCTTATTGAATTATTTCATGTATTATTATTATTATCATCATCTTGATGATGATGATGATGGCAATAATAATAGTAACAGCTAGTGTTTATATAATACCTACTATGGCCCTGGCACTGTGCTAAGTGCTTTACAGATATTATCTCATTTGATCCTCACAGCCCTGAGAGGTAGGTGCCATTATTATCAACATTTTAAGTTGAGGAAACTGAGGAAAACAGAGGTTAAGTGACTTGCTCAGTCATATAGCTGGTAAGTGTCTGAGGTTAGATTTGAACTCAGGGCTTGCTGACTCCAGGCCCAGAGCTATATCCACTGGGTCACTTAGCTGCCCAGATTGTTTTTATGTAGCTTTCATTTTTCAAGTATATTCATCCTCACTCCCCTACCCAGAGATATGTTCCTTATAATAAAGATTAAAAAAGAAAGAAAGAAGTAATTCAGCAAAACAGAACAATATAATTAAATATGTGAGCTGTTGCAAACATTGGGCTAAACAAAATTAAAAGTGCTTGTTATTATTGCATGTAGATTTATATAAATGTAAAATTAACATAAGAGAATCTAGAATATGACCACATTTATTCCATTAAGTAAGGAATGCCTATATAATCCCAGTAACTCTGTTAATATAATCTTTGTAACTCTACCTCGAAAATTGTACCTACTAGATGGATGGCTTTTTTTCTGTGCAAAAAGTGAAAATTAGCTACATTTTCTACCAGCTTCAAATTGACTTAACACTTCTAATTATATTGGGATAATTTTACATTTTTTGCACTTTTCTTATTTTTATTTTTTGGTGTCCCCCCCATTGTTTTTCATTTGGTAATGCTTACATAGTTTTATTTATTTGTGTATATTTAAAAAAAAATAAAGACCCTGAAGAAATACTGTTTAGTTCTTTAAAATTGTTGCCTTTGCCTTTAGAAAAATTAAACTAGAATTTTTTAATGTTTTACTGACGCTTAATTTTTTTTAATCTTAGTTACTTGCTAATTCATCCCTCTCCCAGCAAAACCAATTGGCACTGCTTACCTTTGATTCCAAGCAAATTTCTAGGAATTATTAACAAAGAGATGATTAGTGAATGCCTAGATGAGGAAGTTATGATCACAGAGAACCAGCATGGATTGATTAAGAACCAGATATAACAAACTAATTTTACATCCTTTTTTAATTAGGCTGGTAGGTCAAGAGGATTCTGTAGATATAGTTTGCCTAGATTTTAGCAATGTGTTTGAAAAAATCTTTAATGCTATTCATTTGGGGGAAATGGAGAGATATGTTTCAGATGATAATACAAGCTAGGTGGGTTCAGATTGGGTTGAATGACTGGACCCAAAGAGTAAACATTAATTGTTCAACATCAGATTGAAAGGAGACCTCAAGTTGAGTGCCCCATGGATCTGTGCCTGGTTCTTAATGCTGAAAATTCTTGTCAATGACTTGAATAAGGTATAAAATGATATGCTTATCATATTTGCACATTAACAAAGCTGAGTAGAAGAGCTGATGTACTGAATAAGAGAGTTAGGATACAGAAATATCTTGGCAGGCTTAAATCTTTTTTTAAATTATTATACAGTATATGTGTCTTAGTGTTGCAGTGATTTATAAATACAAATGGGGTCCAATTTAAATCCTGTACTCTCAACACTTTTTTTTCCCAATAAGTGCTCCCCATCCATTCTCAATAACAATAATATCCATAGCAATCCTACCCCATTAAGACAGTGCACTAAAATACTGTTTTTAGTAGCAAGTTATATAGTATATTTTCATCATTCTTCTTTGGCAGTGCCTGAGTTTTCATTCAGAGAAACACCAATCAATGCACAGCAATAAATTATATTGAAATTACTGTAGCACATCGTATCATAAATATCCTTTTTTGTTTTCTTAAAAATAATTTGTCTGTCCCATTTTGCCTTCCCTTAATTGCATAATTAAAAAACAGGACACCTTCCTCCCAATAGTCTTGAATTTTAATGAGGTTAAATGTAAAGTTTTATACTTGGGTTCAGAAAAATCAGACTCATAAGATGGACATGATGCAGCTAGACATTCATCTGAAAAAGATTTGGAAATTCTTGTAGATTGTGGGCCCAACATGAGTCAGCACTATGAGATAATAGCCAAAAAAGCTAATCTAATTTGGGGCTTCAATTAATTGAAGTAAGAGTGTCTAGGACTAGGGAGATGACAGCCCTGCTGTATGTCCTCAGCTCTGGTCAGATTGTTTAGATTACATATTCAGTGGCAGGTATTGCTTTTTAGGAAGGACATTGGTAAACTGAAGCACATTTAGAGGAGAGCGATAAGGATGGTGATGATGCCTCACGATCATGCCATAGGAGGAAAGGGTGAGGGATGTTTAAGCTGGAATGAAAAAGTCATAGAGGAGATATGATAGCTGTCCAGTGTTTGAAGTGTTGTCACGTGGAAGACAGACTAGATTTGTTCTGCCTGGCCTCAGAGGGAGAAACTAGGAGTGATGGGTGGAAAGTTCAAAGAGGCAAATTTAGGCTTGACAGAAGGAAACACTTTCAGACACACAGAGTGGAATGGATTGCCTGCGGAGGGAATGGTGGGTCGCCCCTCTTTGGAGGTTTTCAGTTAAAGGCTGGGTGACCACTTTTCTGGGATGTTGTAGGGGGCATTCTCATACAGTTATGAATTAGAGCCCTTTCCAGCTGTGAGAGTTTGTGATTCTATGAAGCAACTGTGTATGTAGCATTGCATGCCCATAGTCCACCACTTCTCTGTCTAAAGAGGAAAGTATGTTACATTATTTGTCCTCTGGAGCCAGGATTAGTCATTATATTTAATACTTGTTGTCTACTAATCTTGTTTTCATTTATATTATTGTAATCATCATGTATACTATTTTCCTGATTTTGTTTTCTTTGCTCTGCATAAGTTCACACAAATCTTCTCACGTTCCTCTGAATTCCCTCTTAGTTATGATTCCTTAGGCCACAATGATACTCCATTACATTCATATGCTGCACTTTTTTCAGCCTTTCTTCAATTGATGGGCAACTGCCTTGTTTCTAATTATTTGCTGCTACAGAAAGTGCTGCTATGAATATTTTGGTACATGTAGGATTTTTTTTCCCTACATATCAAAGATGATGAAGAGTTTAGTAATTTTTCTTGAATAATTTCAAATTACCCTTGTACTTCATATGATGGAAGGAGAGTCCATCAAACTATGTCCTGAAGTTTTCAAACTTTGATTAGTAATGGAAGTTCGAGTCTGTATTTGCTAGGATGTGTAGTTGTTTGACAACTGACTTTGTATATAAAATTATTAAACAGAAAGGCACCTTAGTGATCGTGTTGTCTAACTCACTGATTTTCTATGAAAAGAAACTGAAGTCCAAAAAGGTAGTTATTTGTCAAGGTGACACGACAGATAACAAAGCTAGAACCAGAACTCTGGCAATAATTAGGAAATTTGTAGATTGTACTTGTTTGGACTATAGTGAATGACCATAATCAGTGACCTGAGTGAAGGCATAGATGAGCAAGCTTTTCCCATTTGTGGGTGACACAAAGCTGAGAGGGATAGTTAACACATTCAAGAACAGAACGAAGATCCAAAAATATGTTAACAGTTTAAAAAGAGTAGGCTGAATCTAATATGGTGAAATTTAAGAGTTAAATGCAAAATCCTATAAATGAATTTTAAAAATCAGTTGAACAAATTCAGGGTTTGGTGAATGGAGGGGTAGACATATTTCTAAATAACAGTCTTTGTATAAAAGACCTGACAGTCTTAGTGGACACCAAGCCCCACATGAGTCAAAAATATAACATGGCAACCAAAAAAAAATTTAATTCCTTTTTAGGCTTCATTAAGAGAAGAATAGTATCCATGAGGGAGGGATGATCTTGTTGTAGTCCGCCCTGGTCAGAACATATCTGGAGTGTTATGTTTTGTTCTAGGCACCACATTGTTTTCTATTTCTTTTTTTAAATAAATTGTTAATTGATATTTTTCAGTTTTACGTTATCTACATTTCCCAATGTGCCCTCCCCTCTCCCTCTTCCAAAGAACAATTATTTCTAACAAAAAAATGAAAAAGTGGGGAAAATAGTGAAACTAACTGACGTGTTGAAAAAGTCTGACAATGTATGCAATGTTCCATATCCTTAGTGTCCTCACTTCTTCAAAGAGGTGGGAGAGGAAGGCACATTTTAGGAAAGTATAAGTTCCTTCAGATGGTGAAGGGATCAAAACCACATCATCTGAGGCTCCCTTGAAAGAACCATGAATGTTTATATTAGACAAGACATCCTTGGCAGTGGGGGGGTGGGGTGGGGGTATGAGGAACCTTGATAGCTGCTTTAATGTGTTTGAAGGTTTTCTAATCAGACTTGCTTTGCTTTGCCCCAAAAGGCAGAACCAGACACAGTGGATTGCAGAGAAGCAGATTTAGGCTTGATGCATGGGAAGAATGATTTAAAGAGTTCAAAAATGTAATGTGTTGCTTCAGGATGTAGAAGGGACTCACTAGAAATCTTCAAGCAGAGGCTAGATGACCGTTGGTTGGGGATGCTACTGAGGGGATTCCTGATCAAATAATGGATGACTCCTGAGCTGTTTTTCCATGCTGAGATACTGTGATTATAGAAACTGTTTCAAAGTTAATAGCTTATTTAATTGGTAATAATCCTCTTCTCAAGGGGCTGTCACATCAAAATATTTTAATAGAAGCATTTGGGCATTAAAGTTGGTGACAGTAACAGGGAAAAATTCTGTAAATTTTAGAATTCAATTTAATATATGAGGATACCAGTAATAAAAGTAGTTGTAGTATCCATCTTTGAATGAAGCTTAGTCCATGTTCAGTTACTTCTCTAAATGCTCCATTTGGAACTTTAAAAGAGTTTCAGATTTTCATTTCTCATATTTCAGTTTGATTTACTTCCCTGACTTGTAACCTCGTGCCAAAAGGGTTAGGAGTGTTAAAAAAATTTTTTTATTTAAAACATTTTACTTTTGTTTAAGAAATCGTAGTAGTTAAGTCATCTGTGAACTGTCTTTTTATACAATTTATTTATGTATCCACAGCATGATGAGGTAAAGCCAAATGAAATACAGAAGCTCAAGGAAAATACTGAATTATTGACACAGCCTGGAAAAGATCTATCTGTAAGGTATTGTATTTATGACTACTTGTTATTAGCATAATTATAAAAATACACATCGGTGATTTCACTTTTAATCCTTGAATTTATAGGGAATAGAATGGTGACTAGAGGAAGAAAAAATTACGATATTTTATTTCTCTAATGTCTGGGTGAATTACTGAAAGACCAATAATACAACTATAAAATTTAATTTGTGTTACCAACTCCACAATTTTCTGTATTCCTTCATTGATTCATTTATTCAACAAGCATTCTGTATTAGGGAGTTGAAAAGTTTTATTAGAATACAAGTTTATAGCATAGAATAAGTTAAAAAAAAGTAGAAAAGGAAAAAAATAAGAAAAAAAGAATAAGAATTAGGAAATAAATTAAATTGTTGTTTGTTTTTAAATGGAGCTGTCATATTTTGAAGCCTAGGCACTACCAAAATACCATCTTACTCGTAGCCCAGCCCTGACCCACTGTTCTCTTGCTTATTGGGATCATTAATGCTGTTTTCCCGTTTGACTAACTTCAAAGTTAGGGGGCTGTTGGTGTTGAAGCCTGTTTGGGAGAAGTCAGTAGGAGACAGACAGGGATGATTCTGGTAGGTGGAAAAGTAGAGAGTAGAGAAAAAATATTAAGGTATAGTCAGAAGAGAAAATGAATGTATTTTTTAGGACTTTAAGAGGAACTATTAGATAAAAGAGCAGTAACCCAAATAAGAAAGGGAACAGAGACCCTACCCTCAGTTCATGTCTATACAACCCTTAAGTCCAAGGCTTTTCTGTTTTCCCTAAAATTCTTTTAGTTCTCTACATAGAGCTTCCCATGTGGGACCAGCAGAGGGTGCAGTGGTAACACAAATAAAATCTAGGTTGTAGTTACCCTTTCAAAAAGCCTAAGGTCGCAAGAACTGAAGAAGAGGAAAGGATTTGTGAAGAGGCAATTCTAACTTTTATTGTGGCAGAAGGGGAATTTATTTTGCTTGAATTAGCTGAATTGGGTCTTTAGGGCTCACCCTTCCCAAATTCTTAACTCACTTTTGCAGATCTTCTGTTTTAGTTGTTGAGAAGCATATAAATATCTGTATTCCAGCCTCAGACCAAACACTTGACACTTACTAGCTGTGTGACCCTGGGCAAGTCACTAAACCCCAGTTGCCTTAAAAAAAAATCTGTATTCGCATCTTCTATAAGCAATGTTATTCATTCCTAGAGGAGTTTAAATGAATCCTATTCTTAGACATTTTAGATTTCTTAATAATACATTTTAAGAAGACTAACCTTTTTTCTTTTTAAAATTTTAATATGCTTTAATTTATTTTGTTAAATATTTTCCAATAACATGTGAAATATTTTAACATTTATTTTTTAAAATTTGAGTTCCAAATTCTCCTCCTTCCTCCTACTCCTCCCCTAGCCCTTGAGAAAACAAGCAATATGATAGTTAATTACACATGTGAAGTCATGAACATTTCTATATTACCCATGTTGCAAAAAAAAAAAAAACCCACACATTTACAAACAAGAAAAATGAAGAAACATTTAAAAGGGTGCTTCAGTCTGTACTCAGAGTTCATCAGTTCCTTGGAGGTGGATAGCATTTTTCATCATGGAAAGACTAGCTTTTTAATTAAATTTTTATATTTGTGTTACTGTGGTCAGATTCATGGAATCTTGAGTTGTTTTTCAAAACTTCCAATGGAGAGAAATCCGCTAGAGGAAGGACTTCCTTGTTCTAAGTAAATTATTTTATCTGGTATAGTAGAGAGTGTGTTCTTGTTAATAAAGAATAAGCATTTGTAGTTTACTTAGCTTTTGAAAGTATTAGAATTAAGTTAAATATATAAGACCAAAACCACACTCACCATAATGTAAATTTGTTTAATGGTTCAACAGACATTTCAAAATCTTATTCAGAGTCATGAGGATTATTAGGTATTTTATCACTGAGGTAATGATGCATAGAGATGCTCATTAATAGAATGCTGAATAATAATAGTTTGCTGCTTTATGTTTTTATCATAAAATGTGCAACAATTTAAAAATGTATCTACTGCCTCTGTCTTCTTTTTGGAATATTTGCCATTAATCCTTTGTGCAAAATGGCATGAAAAAATGAACTAGCTCATTTCAAGGCATTCAGATATACTTTGAAAAGTATGAAGCAGGTGGCTCAAATGAACCAAAGATGTACTCTCTTTAACTCTTAACTTTGTAAGCATGCTTGCTAAGGAGCACAAAAGATAATATACATAAAAGTAAGACACCATATAATACAGTTTTACCCAATAGGACCTGAATTCAGAACAATGAGCCATTGAAGCTACCATATGCTAAATTTAAACAAAGTGTTCTAGGTTGTTTTTTTTTAATCTGAAATAGAATCCAGAAAAAGAAATATAGATTGTAACATATGGGGCTTGCCCTGTATATTTCATTTTGCAGCACAAAAAAGCATTTCTCAAGGACTCCAGTTACAGGAAAACAACTCTATTATCCTCTTCAGACTTATCCAGTGAATAACATGGTAACAGGTAAAAAAAGAAAGAAAGAATGAAAGAAAGAAAATTTAAACAGATTTTTATAGAGAAGATACAAGTGATTAAGTTGTAGGATGAAAATATAATACTTCAATAGCTTGACAAATCTAGCCCGTTATCTGTCATTCACAGAAATGAAGGTAAAGGGAGCATAATTCACACTTAGATGTTCTGCTTAATAGGCAGTAATAGTTGGGGTTTTGTTTTTGTTTTGTTTTTTTGTCCAGACCTAGGATTTCTTTGGTGTAGGAAATTTCCCCTGAGGAAATACAGTTCCCTCTGTCTATCTATGCAGGTCTGCAATTGTTTTGTAACTCATTGTCTTGGAGAGTTGCCTGAGAGATCATATATCAGAGACAAGACTTGAACCCAGGTCTTCCTTATTCTAGCTCTCTATCCACGACTCCATGTAACTTCTCAAGAAACTCAAAATGTGGGAGAAATGAAAGGCAGCAACTCCCAAAGCCAGCTTCAAAAAATAGTAACTAATGGGCTCATACCATTGAGAAAGGGAAAATAGTGAGCAGATAGGGTTAAGTGTGTACATTAATTATTTTTTTTAGATTAAAATTTTTTATTACAAATTTAACATGAACATTTCAGTATACAAAGAACAACAAAGAGGATTGTATGTGACACTGAGTTTGTTCTGTACAGTTTTAAAAAAATTTGAATTTAGCACAGTGACAAAATTGCTTTGTGTTCCATTCTGAACTTTTTTCTTCTAAGCACTTTTAAAATATTTTCTTGATGCTATTTTCTCTCCCTTTTTTGCATCTCTATCACTACCTACCAAAATGTCCCTCTCTCACCAAATAGAAGCCATCTCTTATTACAAGAAGTATAGTCAAGCAAAACAGTTCAACACATTGTCCATATCTGCAAATGTACGCCTCATTCTGCACCCCTGCTCTATAATCGTTGTACCAAAAAGTGTGTGCCGTGCTTCATCTTCAGTCTTCTGAAATTGTGATTGGTCCTTGTACCACTCAGAGTTCTGTCGTTTTTCAGAATTGTTTTACATTTCATTGTTGTGGTTGTCAAGTAAATTGTTCTCGTGTTTCTGCTTCTAGCAGTTAGCACAGCCTTATGGGCGCTATGCCCCTCCATACTACTGCATTTATTAAAAAAGAAAAATGCTGTCAGTAGAAATTAGTTGGCTTAGGAAGATCTTGTCTTCCTGGATATTTAAAAGTGATAAATTCCACCTAAGAAAGATCAATGGAAGACATTAGTATTGATGATTCAATTAAGACGTGAAGGAAGATTTAGACATGTAATAGTGCTGCTATATCTCATTCTTCATTGCTGGACTGTTACCCCCCTCCCCAGCCCCATCCCACGCACCACCATCACCACCTCTGCCACAAAAAAAAAGTCAAATATACTTCTAAAAATTAGTTGGCTGTCATACTAAGACATGAATGAAATTATTTTATTCAGCCCAGGGTTCAGTAAATTATGTTGGGATATCTATGTGATAGAGTGAATAGAGTGTTGAATACGGAATCAGAAAGACCTGAGTTCAAATACAGCCTCAGACACTAACAGTTTGACCCTCGGCAAGTCACAGCTTCTTAGTGCCTCAGTTTCCTCATCTGTAAAATGGGAGTAATAATAACACCAATGTTCCAGGGTTGTTGTAAGGATCAAATGAGATGATCTTTGTAAAGCACTTTACAAACCTAGCACTCAGTGCTAGCTGTTATTATTATTATTATTATTATTATTATCATCGATGAGTCTGAAGGAAAAATAAGGTTTCTGGGTTTTATGCATTTATGCATTAACAAATTATACATTTATACATTAATAAATAATTCTTCACTCCACCCCCTGCATTTGTATTTCTGTATTCAACTTTTTTTTAAAAAATCCATTTTTGGGGGTGGGGAAGGGATTTTCTTTTTTTTGGTGAGGCAGTTGAGGTTAAGTGACTTGCCCAGAGTCACACAGCTAGTAAGTGTTATGTCCTGACTCCAGGGTCAGTGCTCTATCCACTGCACCGCCTAGCTGCCCCAAGGGATTTTCAAAGAGTAATTTGTTAGTAGCTTTTAATATTCTCAATGGCAACTTATGGTTCTTTGATCAATCAGTGGAAAAACAAGTGTTTACTGATATCTGCAGCGTGTTAGAGACACTTTAGTAACATAAAAAGAGATCTAGTCCCTGTCCTGAAGGCACTCACATTCTTTTGGGGGAAATGACACCTTCACATCAAGGAAACACAAAATACATGTGAGGTATAGACAAAGGAATGAGAAGGGAGAGGGCTCTCTGGTCCCTGGGGGGCCCAGGAAGGGCCTCCTGTAGAAAGTGACACTTGAGCAGAGCCAGGAGGGGAACCAGGATTCCAAGAGGGGAAGGTGAGGGGAGAGTTCCCTATAGATAGGTATGGGGGGTATCAGGGACAGTCACCTGGGCAGAGATTTTTGTCCTGTACAGGGAACAAGCAGAGAATAGAAAAAGCATCATATGTATACATGTCAATACATTTATATGTGAATCTCTATACCATTCAGCCCGCTTAGAACAACAATCTATGTAGTGACTGAACATTTGACTTTTAAAGCTGTCTTGCTTGTTTTTGTTTCCTTCTGGACTTTGTTCTCTTCTCTTCTGTGTGTTTTTAGCATACTTCAACAACTTTCTTTTCTTTCTTTTGACACTATCACCAACTCCACTGCTTCCTGCCTTCCATCTTCAAATAATTCAATTTTCAATTCAGTAAACATTGAGCACCTACTATGTGCCAGGCACTGTGCTAAGCAGTGGACATCCAAAAAAGGACCAAAGACGGCCCCTGCCCTCAAGGAGCTTACATTTGAATGGAGGAGAAAACATGCAAACAAATCTATACAAAGCAAGCCATGTAAAGGATAAACAGGAAATAATTAACAGAGAGAAGACACTGAAGTTGAAGGGGGGTTAGGGAAGGCTTCCTGTAGAAGGTGGTGTTTTAGTTGGGACTTTAAGGAAGCCAGGGAGCTCAGTAGTCAAAGTGGAGGAGGGTGGGCATTCCAGACGTGGGGGAGAGCCAGAGAAAATGCCCAGAGCTGAGTGTCTTGTTTGTGGAATATCCAGGAGGCCAGTGTCATGAGATCAAAGAGTTTGTGCTGGGGAGTAAAGGGTAAGAAAACTGGGAAGGTAGGAGTGGGCTAAGTTATGAAGGCTTTTTAATACTGAACAAAGGATTTTGCATTTGATCCTGGAGGCAATAGGAAGCCACTGGAGTTTATTAAGAAGGGGTGTGACTTGATCAGACCTGCATTTCAGAAAAATCGCCTTAGTGGCTGAATGGAGGATACATTGGTGTGGGGAGTGACTTGAGGTAGGCAGACCCTCCCTCTTTCCTGCTTCCCCATGAGGTAATGAAAGGCTGCACTAGAGGGCTGGCAGTGTCAGAGAGAAGGGGGCGTATTAGAGAAATGTTGCAAAGGTGAAATTGTCAGGCCTTGGCAGTAGTTTGCTTATGGGGGTTGAGAGATAGTGAGGATAATCCAGGATGACTTCTAGCTTGTGAGCCTGAGGGACTGGGAAGATGGTATCATCTTCTATGGTAACAGGGAAGATGGGGAGGGGAGAGTTAAGGAGAGTTCTGTTTTGAACATGAGTTTAAGATGTCTTTTGGAGTTTGAGATGTCTGAAAAGGAATTGGGGATGCAAGATTGGAGGTCAGGAGAGAGATTGGGGAAGGATTGGTAGATTTGAGAATCATTAGTGTAAAGATGGTAATTAAATCCACAGGAGCTGATGAGATCACCAAGTGAAGTAGTTTAGAGGGAGAAGAGAAGAGGGCCCAGGGCAGAGCCCTGAGGGACACCTATGGTTAGAGAGGGCATGATCTGGAAGAGGAACAAGAAAAAGAGACATAGAAGGAGGGGTCAGATAGGTAGGAGGAAAACCAGGAGAGAGTGGTGTCCCAAAAACCTGGAGAGAGTATCAAGGAGGAGTCATCAACAGTGTCAAAGGTTGCAGAGAGGTCAAGGAGAATGAGGATGAGAGAAGGCCATTGGATATGATAACAGATCATTAGTAACTTTGTTTTTTTTGTTTTTTTCTTTTTTTTTTTGGTTAGGCAATGGGGTTAAGTGACTTGCTCAGGGTCACACAGCTAGTAAGTGTTATGTGTCTGAGGCCGCATTTGAACTCAGGTCCTCTTGAATCCAGGGCCAGTGCTCTATCCACTGCGCCACCTAGCTGCCCCCCCAGTTTTTTTACACCTTACACTCTACCACGTACTCACCTATCTTGTGACACTGACCTTGCCGTTCACTAAACAAGACAGGCCATCTTCTTACTCTGGGCATTTTCGATGGCTGTCCCCCATGCTGCTCTTTCCTAATCTCTGTCCCTGGGCTTCCTTCAAGTCTCATCTCCTGCAACAGTCCTTTCCTGGTTCCCCTTAATGCCTTTCTTCCATCTGTGGATCATCTCCAATTTATCCTGTATATATCTGGTTTGTACATACTCCTGTTTTGCCTGCTTTCTCCACCATTAGACTATTCCCCATCTGAGCAATTTCACTGCTATAACTGGAATCTTTAAAAAAAATTTTAAATGAAAAAAAAAACACAAGTATCTTACCTTCTTTTCTGTGCAACTTTTCATTAGTCCTAACTCAAAGGACCAAAAAGATTGAAAAAAAAAAGTCAGACACTTCAAATATAGTTTTCCCTCTGTAGGTTATGTTTCTGTTGATACAATGAAGAAGTTCCTTGGTGAGCTACATGACTTCATTCCTGGAAGCTCAGGATACTTGGCGTATCACGTTCAAAAAGAAATCAACGTCTTTTCTGCTGCAAAAAATAAATTGAAGAGAAAATGCTAAATTGGGTTATCCTCTGCTCATCTGTTTTCTATAAAATATGTTAAATAATGCATTGTTTAATGTTAATCTGTTTTAAATTACGTGTTCTTTGTCTCAACATTAATTTAAAACTTTTTCTCATTAGAAAACTTAGAACCATTTTGGTCAGATAATAGAAGATCTGTAGCAGGTTATTTTGCCCTGATTTGTAGCATTAAGAAAACAAATTGTAAAATTATAGTTTTTTCTTGTGTTGTAGTTGTTATGGAAATGTCCATTCCATTATAAGTCTTATATTTGCCCCTCTCAGTCAAAATGTTTCTTTTGGTTTAAAACTGCTATATAGTAAGTTCAATGCCGCTAAAGCGTTATAAACATGAATATACTTCTGATGAGAATTTAATTTCACATAAAGTATTATGAAATACTATAGTAAATTTTTAACTAACAAAGAATAATGAGTCACTTTTCTTTGCTAAAAATTGAATAGTGCTACAGTTTAGGAATTGATGTGTAAAAAAAAATTAAACTTAATGCTGTGTAGTTATGACCAAGCTTGGCCAGGAGAAGGGTTTGAAAAAATGTGCCTCCCTCCCTTCTTTGCACAGGTGCTGGGAGTGGAATGTTATATATATATGTGTGTGTGTGGTGTGTGTGTGTGTGTGTGTGTGTGTGTGTGTGTGTGTGTGTGTGTATGTATTTATATTTATATTGTCAGCTTTGGTTTGTGTATTACTATTTTTGCAGAGCTGGATTATTATTTTTTCCTTATGGCAAGAGATGGTTTGCCCAGTAGAGGAAAGAGAAGGATATATTCAGAATTAAAGATGATGTTAAAACAAATGATAGCAATAAAAAAATCTTTATAAGAGAACTCTGTAGGTATTCTTTTAAATTGTCATTAACCAAAGACATTAAAAGTTTTAATGCAAACTGGAATTGTATTAACTGAAACTAACTGAGTCATTGAACTGGAAGAGACCTTTGTGATCCTCAAGCCCATTTCTCTCATTTTGCAATAAGGAACTGAGGCTGAAGATTTGCCTAGGGTATAGAGCTAATTAGTATAAAAGCCAGGACTGATACTCAAGTCTCCTGATTCACAGGTCTTTTCAGTCATTGTTCAGTCATAGGCTACGGCATGCATATTACAGTTATCTGGATAGATTGCTGAGGGGAGCCAGGAAAATGCCAACATATCTTGAAAGAACTGATAAGCTTTCCTAACTTTAGAATATTATTGGGTAAACATTTTGGTCCTTTGCTAAGAGATTATAGTCATAATTATAACAATTTAATCATAATTATAAACCACAGCAGATAGAAGTTAGTAATGCTTAATACTCATGGAGAATAATTACCCTCAGTATCAATTTGGCAACCTTCTTGCCATGACTGTTAGCCAAGAGCCAGACTATCTCCTTTTTCTACCCCTCAGATAACCATACACCAGGAATTTCTATTTAGACCACAAGATGCATAGAACAAAATTGAATATTGAAGCATTTTGCCATCTGGAAATTCTGCATATTTCAAAAGAATCCTGTATAGATTTGATTGAATCAGGGATTGAAAGTGGATTTTTTATTCTAAGTTTGATTGTAGTATTGTGAATATTAGAGCGAACAGATGGAAGCCTAACTGGCAAGTGCTTCTCCATCATGTTTTGGTACTTTGAGAAGATGACGATACCACATTACTTTTTACTGTTTCCATAATAACTCTAACATGTCACCGGGAAATTGCTGTTAGCGTGTGACCATTTCTAATGTGCTGAATTCTGTTTTAAATGGAAGCTTTTACAATAGGAGCCCTGATAAGGTAAGTAACAGTGAAAGTGTGGAGAAGAAGCATATCCTTCTCTCCATCCTGTCCTCTTCATTTATCTCATACTGGGGTTTACAGGTTAGTGAACTGCATCTTTCACAGGCCCCTTTTCCCCACGTTTTCACTGTTCAATAAATTCAAGTATCCTAATGACAGGCCATTATGATAGTTATTGGGCTGATCCCATGGTAAGCAAATTCTCCAGTGTGAATCATTAAGTCTTAAGTCATCAGAAGTAGTCACTTACTGATAATTAGTTCCTTTGTGACTTGTTAAAATTTTTTTTTTTTTGGTGAGGAAGTTGGAGTTAAGTGACTTGCCCAGAGTCACACAGCTAGTGAGATGGGTTTTTTTAAATGTGTCTGAGGCCGAACTTGAACTCAGGTCCTACTGACTTCAGAGCTGGGTTCTATCTGCTGCATCACCTAGCTGCCCCAAGAATTTCTGCAGAAATACAAAGTAACCTGGTATCATTCTTTCCTAACAGTTCACTGAAATAGTATTGAGAAATAGGGTAATAGGGAGAAAACAGGTTTCATTAGTATATGTATATGTCATGTTTCAGTTGGTGAAATGGACAGGGAAAGATTGAAAATCTTGATGTTTCTGAGATAGATAATCTCCACTTGCTTACTTGGCTTTGCTGTAGAGTTATCTTCTAGTCCCCTTGCTTGCCTGAACTGAAATCATCTTTCCCCCCCAAACCCTCACTTCTTCCAAATTTCCCTATTACTATCAAGGGCACTGCCATCCTCCCAAACATGTCTTTTTAGGGTTAGTTCTTTAATATTGCTGTGATCTGTCCAGAGTTAGTAAAAACCCCAGATTTATTCATGTCTCTGCCAGGGTTTCTTAATCTTTTTTTGTGTGTGACATGCACTTCTTTGGTATAATGCCTATGGATCCTTTCTCAGAATAACACTTTTAAATACATAAAATAAAATGCAAAGGATTACCAAAGGTTAGTGAAAATAGAGAGTGGTTTTTTGCATCAAGATTCATGGACCTGAGGTTAAGAATCTCTGGCTTAGGACAAGCCTCCTGTATTACCTTCTTACTGGTAGAACCGCTGCCTACTACAGTCATATTACCTGTAGAATTATCTAAGAAAAATACATTTGCCAGGATCTGGACATATGTCTTTGATAAATTTATGTAATTTTGACTAGATTAGAACAGTAGAAAATTGAAAAACTACCCTTGGCATAAGCATTGAGTGCTTTTCTCTGGTAGTTTGCCTAATTTTTATGAATATCTATAGAAAGTACCTTACTGCAAATAAATAACTTTCTTGGATCATTTCACTATGTGGAGGTTCCTTAAAAACATTTCTGTCTTAGTCACACTGGATTAGAGGATTTACATCTAATTACTCTTCCCATACAGAATAGCAAATCTTCCTTCAGGCATTAAAACTATTGGAAATTACAGGCAAAACCGAAACCCCAAGTAAAGTGTTTTTGAGTTTCTAGCAAGTATTCAACATTCAGGAAAGATTTCTGAGTGTTTTAGATTAAGAAGCTTAAGTGTTTCTCAAACAGCAGAATGTGTAAATAGAAAAAGGTCATAAACAACATACCCTTGGAGTACTGGCAGCAAAGATACAAAATGGGCAGTCCTAATGATTCGTGATGATAACTATTTGTTGATTTAATGAGATACAGAAAACACCAGACTCTCGGTTATTGTTCAGTTCTCTCTTATTTACTTTAGCGAGTCTAATGGATTGTGTGTCTCTCCCTTTCTTAACACATTCCACACCTGTAAAACTCCGGGTGTCTATTGCTTTCATAAATTCTTACTGCCCTTTGCACGTCTTCTGTTCTTGGCATCAAGTAGTCACCCCACATTGCTCAGCATCACTCACTAGGTCTAATTTCATAAGAAAATAGTTTCTGTTTCTGTCTGTTTGTGGCTGAGTTTTTTAAGACAGTGCTGATTTGTGAATAAGAAAAAGACTTCAAAACTTATTTTACAGGTTCCTACTTTTGAGACAGAGAACCGAAGATCTCAGTCTTCATACATGTAAAACACAGGCGGATCTGTAACGTTGGAATTATGTAGGTTTTAGCTCACACATCAACTGGACCCCAGCCTTTGCCATTAAAGGGTTATTATTTTTTTTTTGGAAGGGGGAGCGTGGCCTCACGAAGTACCTCTGGCTTATATTCTCACTCTTGAAACATCAGTACCAGGCTTGTGTCATGCTTCCAGCCAAGAAAACTGGAAATAGTAGTAATTGGCTCCTCTTTCTTAGAAAAGGAGCCTTGCTCTTCCTTGCAAGCATTCATGCTAAGAAAACACTGAATATACAAAATGTCTTACTTACAGAAATACAGCAAGCACTCGTATCCAAGCCCATAGACAACCCAGCAGGCTCTTCCACCTTCTCTGTGGGAAAGGGCTCAGAGATACTAGATTCCATGTTGTCTCCCCACTAGACATACATGCCACATGACTGGCTGTGCCAGCAGGGCTAGCTGTCCCTCAGAACAGTTTCCTAATGTGGTAGTCTCTCATTCTGTCATGACTCCCTGTTGTAATGCTTCTTGTCAAGATCCTTGTCTCCCTTATTTCTTTCTCTTTTTAAAGGCTGTCTCTTTCTGGGGGACTGTGCATATTTAGCAGCCTGTAGGTCTCCCTCCCTGCTTGACCTTTCTCTGGCGGCAGATCCTCACTCTCCATCTGTATTTCTGTTGATGTTTCAGCCTCCATCTGGTGCTGGCTCATTGATGTACATGGTTCCCTGGAAGAGCCACATGGCTATGCAGTCCCCTCTCCAGGTTCTGTGCTCAGTTTGGCATCTCCTCCCATTATCTTTTTTTTTTTTGTAAATTTTTTTATTCATTTTAAACTTAAATACAAAACAAGAAAAGAAAAAAAAAGAACATTTCCATGTACATAGCAGAATGTAGGAGAGGATTCAATATAAAACAATAAATTTCCATTTCAAGAAAACCTATATAATAAATACTACACATTATTATCAAAGCTACCCAGCTTTCTTTGCTTCCTTCTAGGTTTTCTTTTGTTCTCTGCTGTGTACTTTTTACTTTTTTTCTCCTCTCCCTCCCAAAGAACACTACAATTAAATATGGATATATATATACACACATATTTAGATAGATATCTATAAATATATACATATACACTTATATACATACATATAAACCTCTACTATGCATATTTCTACTTGTCATCTCTTTCTCTAGAGGTAGATAGCATCTGCCTTCATTGGTCCAAATCTTTCCCAGTTTTTCTAAATCAACCAGCTTATCATTTCCTACACCACAGCAGTATTCCAAAACAATCACATCCTATCTGAGAGATTAGCTATGAAAGTTTCTTCCCAATTTTCTGTGTTCCTTCTATTCTTGCTTACATTGGTTTTATTTATATAAGAAAATTATAATTTAAAATAATTGAAATTATCCATTTTGTACTTCAACAATACTCTCACCTTACAGTTTAGTTTAAGGTCTGATACTGCTAGATCTTCCTTTATGTATTTTGCCCTGGCTTCTTTGAACTCCCATTACCCTTATATATCTGGAAGCTGTCTCCTGTAACTGAGAGAGGGGCTTACCTACTTGATTACTAGATGGGTTACTCTGATGACATCTCATTTGTTACATTTGTAATCAAAATAATCTAAGGAGTTAAGTGTAGCAGAAAATTATTTGGAAAATAATTTCCATTATTTGTTCAATAGGTCTGTGATCTTACCAGCCTAAGTACTCTTCACGAGTGCAGACTGAAACCCTTCCCTATCTCATCTTATTCCATTTTTTAAAATGTGTCATTCTGTATATCTTCTAGACTATCCAATATACTGGAGATCTTCCACTTAAAAAAAAAACCTAGAAAAATACCAATGGAACACTTATACTCCTCTTGTATGGTCTGTCATTTTTTTTTTTTAGACAGTTGAGTTTAAGTGACCTGCCCAGGGTCAGACAGCTAGAAAGTGTCAAGTGTTTGGTCTGAGACTGGATTTGAACTCAGGTCCTCTTGACTCCAGGGCTGGTGCTCTATCCACTGCACCACCTAGCTGCCCCCCAGTCTATCACACTTGATACATGACTGGCCTCCGTCCTTTTTCTGCCACAAACAGATAATGTCATTTGTAAGGAGAACTCATTGTTTTATGATACTTTAAGATTTACAAAATGTTTTCCTCATGCAGTGGTTTAGTCCTGGACTTAAGGAAGAGTGGTAGTTTGTGTTATAGGCCCCTGCTTCTCTTTTGTCCTGATGTATGTAAACTATGCTACGCGATACATCCAACCAAGGGCAGATGTACTCCGCCAGGACTGCAGGGTGGCTTCTGAATATTGGAGCCCACAAGCTTTTCTGTTTGGAACAAAGGGGCCTGACCACCTTTACAAATGATCCAGTCTGGGTTGAGCAGGCCCCAGTCAGCTTTGGATAGGATACTCATGAACAGGTTCTAAGGATGCACACAGGGTTTGGCGCTCATTGGTGACACAGATTTGCCTCTCGCTAACCATTTCTGATCATCTATTCCCCCACCTCTCTCTAGGGAAGGGGCCTAGCTTGACTATGTTGCCTCATTTCACAACAGCCCTTTGAAATAATAGTAACTAACATTTGCATGCCATTTTAAAGTTTAGAGAGTACTATGATATCCTCACAATAACCTAGTGAGGCACGTTTTATGATTATCCTCATTTAACAGGTAAGGAACTGCTAATTGGATAAATGACTTGCCCAGGATCACACAGCTCATAAATATCTGAGCCTAGATTTGAACTCAGATCTTCCTGACTCTAGAGCCAGTGCTTTTTATCCGCTGTACCAGTTAGCTGCCTATAAGCAGATAATACAAGAAACATTATCCCTTTCTTGCTGTGAGGACACAGAAAGTCAGAGAGATTAAATGACTTGCCCAACAGGGTCACAGAGTCAAAAAACAACAATTTGAACCTAGGTCTTTTCATTATATCTCTCCAGTTTGATACCACTTCCCATGTGCAAAGCCACCTTGACAATATTGTAACTCTTACATTCACTGACCATTCATGGTAAAAGATAGTCTTCACGAATAAGAGAGCTTGCCAAGGGAAAGCACAGAGCAGAGTAGTCCTCACCCTTTTCTTTCGTTTAGTAGCTAACCAGTGCAGAATATGCAATAGCCAATGGTGAGCCAGCAGCTATAATGATTTTAATATTTATTTTAACACTGCCTGTATCTGGCATGTGTGTGATGCCTGTTGTCTCCACCATTAGAATGTGAGCTCCTGGGGCAGCTAGGTGGTGCCGTGGATAGAGCACTGCCCCTAGAGTCAGGAGGACCTGAGTTCAAATCCACCCCCAGACACATAACACTCACTAGCTGTATGACTCTGGGCAAGTCACTTAACCCCAATTGCCTCACCAAAACAAAAATAAAATGAAAATAGAATGTGAACTCCTTGAGGACAGGGACCATGTCTTTGCATTTCTTTATTTCCCCAAGTACCTGGCACATAGTAAGTAATTAATAGATGGTTGTTGACTGACTGGCCAACAAATAAGCCTGGCCTAAGAGGGGAAGTTCAGGGTAGAGAAGTTGTTGTAACATAGTATGAGATTGTTGTTCGGTTGTTTCACTTGTGTTTGATGCTTTGTGACCCCATTTGGGTTCTTCTTGGCAAGGCTACTGGAAAGGTTTTGCCATTTCTTCCTCCAGCTCATTTTATAGATGAAGAAACTGAGGCAAACAGAGTGAAATGACTTGCCCAGGGTCACCCTGCTTTTAAGTGTCTGAGGTCAGATTTGAAATCAGGAAGATGAGTCTTCCTGCACTCTGTCTATTGCACCACCTAGCTGCCCTAAGTGTGAGATATTGTAGCATTTTTACATTCTCAGCTTCAAGTGAGTGAGAGTCAATACCTCCCTACTTCTACTAAGGTAAAGTTTTGGTGGATGAGCTAGAAAGTGATTTTTAAGATACCTGGTACATTACAGCAAAGAGTAGGGGTTTTTTTTCCTGTTTATTTTTTTTTTTAACATTTTAACATTTTTATTTAAGGTTTTTGAGTTCCAAATTTTATCCCTCCCTTTTTTCATACCTTCCCCACCCCTACCCCCCCAGGCAGTGAGCAATCTGATATAGGTTATACATGTACAACATTTCCATATTAGTCATTTTGTACAAAAAAACTTAAATAAAAGAAAAAAAAGAAAGTGAAAAATAGTATGTTTCAGTCTGTGTTCAATCAGTATCAGTTCTTTCTCTGGAGGTGGATAGTCTGCTTCATCATTAGTCCTTTGGGATTGTCTCAGATCATTGTATTGCTGAGAATAGCTAAGTCATTCCCAGTTCTTCATCAAACACTATTGATGTTACTATGTACAACATTCTCCTGGTTCTGTTCACTTCACTATGTATCAGTTCACGTAAGTCTTTCCAGGTTTTTCTGAAATAATCCTGCTTGTCATTTCTTATAGCACAACAGTATTCCATTACAATCATATCACAGCTTGTGTAGCCATTCCCCAATTGATAGGCATCCCTTTGATTTCCAATTCTTAGCCGCCACAAAAAGAGCTGCTATAAATATTTTTGTACAAATAGGTCCTTTTCTTTTTTTTTTTTTTTGGATGTGTTTAGGATATAGACCTAGCAGTGGCATTGTTGGATCAAAAGGTATGCACAGTTTTATAGCCCTTTGAGCATAGCTCCAAATTGCTCTTCAGAATGGTTGGATTAGTTCACAATTCCACCAACAGTGCATTAGTGTCCCAGTTTTCCCACATCCCCTTCAACATCCAACATTTTCCTTTTTTGTCCTATTAGCCACTCTGATAGGTGTGAAATGCTGCCTCTGAGTTGTTTTAATTTGCATTTCCAAAGAGTAGTTTGCAAAAGAAGTACCAGACTAAGGATCTTTCTAGTCTAGGCTTGACTTATATGACCATGAACAACTTAACTCTCTGTTTAAGTTTTCTCATCTTTGAAATAGAAATAATATCTGTCCAATGTTATTGTGAGGATCAAACAAATTAAAGTGGGTGAAAAACACTTTGAAAAGTACAAAATGTGGAAAAAAACCATAAATGCCTATTGTTTCAAAATGTGGTTAGAAATTGTTTTAAGTGCATAGTATAGTAAAGCTAGCCTTGATGCCAGGAAGACCTGAGTTCAAGACCCATCTCTGACACATGCTGGCTCTGGAAACCTGGGCAAGTCACCTAACCTCGTAATGCTCAGAGCTTAGAGTCTCTTTAGACTTTAAGCGGCAGAGAAAATGTCACCTTGTATTGATAGAAAGTTTGCTCACTTGGGAGTTTCCCACACTGATAAAGACACAGGTCCCACCTTCATCCCAGTCACTATCCCTATTAACTTTAACCCAAGAGTAAAAAAATCATCCTTTTAGTTTTTTTCCTCTTCTGAGCATCTTTTCTT